GCAGCCTCCTTGGCCTTCCGCAATGAGGGCAGAGCACTGCGGCCCCCAAGCTCACAGACGGCAATTGTACAACGCCATCGTGTTTTCTTCCACTTGGGATGTCTGGGACTAAATCTCTTTTTCATAAGACAAGACCGTATAATCCAGCAGTGACACTATCACAAATGAAGCAAAAAATAAAATATGAAGATTTTCCCATTTGCTGGTCCAGCAAAGAATCCACTTTCATGCGTTTGAGCCTTGATTTCACAAGTAGCATTTTTATAGGTTTGTATTTGAAGGAGATGCATGTTTAATCTTCCTTTACTACCAGCCAGATGCAGTCCAGCCTCAAACCCAAATCCATGGTGTTGTGCTGGTGCTGCTGACGAGATCCAGCTGTCAGGAGATTTTACTTGCTGGGACTCAGTGCTGTACTTACTGAAGGACAGAGTTTTTTCTTTGCTACTAGCTAGCTGAGAGCAGCAGCACAGGCTTGCACATGCCAACACTCAGCGGTATCAATTTCCTCAAGTGAAAGAGTTTTCTAAATGCAGAGGGTGATACTATTTTCCACCATTTTTAAAATAAGCCTTTGTGGGAGGCCAGGCCAATGGTTCCAGTCCTGTTCCCCTCACTGAGTAACTGTCCCCAGCATCCCAATTGCTTCCTTTTACGCCGTTTGCTTGTTATGTTTTCTAAGATCACAACAGAGACAGGTAGTCTTTTGCAATATCGGCATAAAATCCTTTTAAAAGCAATCAGTTATTGCCTTATCAACTAGGACATCCTTCCTAATATCACTTAGCTCTCAGTACATTTTGATCAGATGGACCGTTCCGTGTTTCTGTATTGCACTCCTGTCTTGTTTGCAGGTCTTTAAAATATCCTCACAGCATCATTGGTTGTAATATGTGCTGTACAAGGCTTTTTTTTTTTTTTGGCTTTTTTTTTTTTTGCCTTTTTTTTTTCCCCAAGAAGTCCAGGTATTTGAGAACTCCATAAAACATTTAAATCTCATTTTAATCTTCAGCTTAGATTTCTCTATCCTCTTATTTTCTGGGATGGAAGCAGTTTGATTTTTTTTTTCTGCTAATAACTTTTTTTGAGTTTCACAATATTTTCCAGTTGTGCATACTTTTGCAAGACATTTCTATTTGGCTTGCTGTCCTTCTTGATTGCACTTAGACCTGCTTTGTTTCAGTCTCTTGCAAAATGCAGAAGAATTAATAAGGACACCTGAAATGCTATAGCAGCAAGTATGAAATGGAACAAATATAACACTTTGACCACATGCTGGTGGGGTGAAGTAGTGTGCGGCCAATGTGTGAGCCCTGTTCAATGCAAAGTGCAACTTTGTCCTTTCCCATTTTTGTAAAACCATGTGTGTTTCTCAGAATAACCACCATTTATAGAGGATGCAATTGTTATTCGCTACAGACCATGCACAGATAAAATATGCCAAGTTAATTTACTCTCTTCTCTTGGCTAAGTCAGTCTTTGTGATGTCACTTCTTGCGGGTCATTTGCTGTGACCTTATTTTTCATCAGTAAAGAGCCAGGTGTTAGGCTTTGTTCTACAGTTCAGGTTGTTTATATCCATCTATTCTAGGAAAATAAGGGTGCCTATTTTGCAGTTCTCTGTTTGCAAAGGTTAGAGTGGCCAGGCAATATGCATGTGGACAAGTGCCAGGGAAATGTAGTTTTGCACAGTTTAGAGGCAGACTAACCAAGCAGACAGCACGAATGTTTGGTTAAAAGATCTCATTAAAAAAAAAAAAAAAGAAAAAAATTATTAGTAGCTACTGGACAAGTATGAGCTACTACTCTAGGTTTGTAATAGAAATATTTGGGTTGTTGTCTTGGTGATGGAGTGTTAACCTTCCACGTATAGGTACAAACTGTGCTCAGCAGAGAATGTTGCATGCATTAGCTAGTGTTCTCAGTTTAAATTGGTAGTGAGAGGGACTTTGTGCCACGTTTCCTACAATGCCTTGTTTCTTGTAAAACATGAAGTTAAACCTGCAACTTCGGGTTTATCCTTTGATAAACATTTATATTCTGCATTTCTGATCAGTGTTTTGATCTGTATTTTTAGTCATTCTGTTAAGACAACACGAAATCATTCAAAATCTTAGTTTAATTTACCTACATTAGTTGTGTTTAATGATATAGTTAAATACCACATACCTACCTAAAAAATTGGTTTTTTCTCCTTAATCCTCACAACTCTCAAAAGAATCCTCTCCAACTTTCCTGTAGCTGTTCTTATTCCACTACTTCTGCCAATAGTCTTTTTAATTCATATATGCAAGTTTGCTAGAAACAGATGAGAATGTGTGCATAGACAGAAACTGCAAGTTTGGAAGACTGCAGGCTAGATATTGTTATTAATATAAGGTATCATTTTCACAGTGACAATCAGTTTGGGTTTTTATAAATGTTCTGAATCATCAGCTCATGTAAAATGTTCTTTGTACAGAAAAATGAAACAAAATGTGAAAGCCAGGTTGCTGTATGTCAGTAGGTTATTGTTAGTTGACAGTGTATCGTGGATCACCGTAAACTCCACTTTTCCATTTACCATCTGCAGATTTAAGCATTATCTTTCACTAGTAAGACTTCCTTCTGCAGAATCTATAGAAAATGTAATAAGATACCTTTAAATCTATTAATTATTTATAAATTAATCTTACGCTGCTTATCATGACCCTTACTTTTGTTCAAAAACATTATGATCATGATGTTTCATAGCACATGGAAGCCACAGAAGGTCATGTAATACATTTGCATATTAAAATATACTACACAGTTTGTGTATGAAGTCAAACTTTAAAACATCTTATTTCTGGCTAAGATAGAACGGGAAGATGAGAAAGCAAAAGGATAGCCATACTGGATCAAATCAAGACCGTGTTTTGTCCAGTGTCATGTCTGCAGGAGTACATGTAATCCAATAGCTAGAGACAAAAAATAACTGAGCAAGCATATATAATATTCTTCTTCCAGTTTCTGAATATTTCCAGCTCAGGGGATTTCCAGAACCAGATGTAACCTGCAGTGGTTTTGTCTTCCATCAACTTATTCAGTTACCCATTTAATACATAACATTTAGCAACTAAAACATCCTTTGTCAACAAGGTCTACAGGTCTACTCCCTGCTGCGTGGAATCACGTCCTTTTTACTTCTGACCAGCCTGGCCCATCTAGCTTCTTTTGATTCCTCTAGCTTTATTTTTTAGAAGAACACTTATTATTGCTGGTTCTAATTTGACCTCACTCAGAAGCACGAGGATTTGGGGGGTTAGTAGCAAATAGCTGGCATTTTTTATTCCTCTTCTAGTTTGCTTGTTTTAGCATTTCGCATTTTCAAACTTTCTGTTACAGCTATGAGAATTAGAAGTGTATTCATTAAAATCATGAGATTTGAGTATACTGCATAAGAGATTCAGGAGACTTCAAGACCGTTTAGTCTAGTGAATACACAGTAAAAATCACAATAGTTGTCAATACTGTGTCATTGTGAAGAAATTCCTTGTCTATCAGCAGATGATAGAATGATGATGGAAGATATTGTAATGTAGCATACAGAGCAGAGAGTGCAAGAGTAGCCTTCGGTATCTTTAGGAGAAAGTAAATTGGAAGACATAAGCTGGAATCTGTGGCCTTTAATATTTCATATCATAATACGTTTTAAATGTTATCAGAAGTTGAGAAAGGGGGGGAAAACATGCCTCTGAAGACCTCTAGAAGGATGCTCTGTCCATCTTACTGAGAGGCTAAAGTGGACAGACTTTTGGACACCTCTAAGATGCAAGTCAACATGGATAGATTTTGCATCTACCTTTCCTCTTCAACTAAATAATGAATTTAGTTACTTTAGCAGACGATCTCATTAGAACCATTTCATTGTCTAGGAGGTAGGTTGAGAGGCTAAATGACATGGTCTGAATCCCGCACATGGTGTCAATAGCAATTATTTTTACTCTGAAATTTAACAAAAGAAGATTTGAACAGTAATAACTTGACTGAATTTTTTAAAAATTATTTTGTTAATTTTAATTGTGCTTTGATGACCAAGGCTAGGGGAGGAAAATACCTATTGCACATGAACAGGCATAGCAGAATTTCTTTAAACATAAATGTTTAAGGAAGACAAAAGATGCATGGATTACTTTTCTGGCAAATTATTTCCCATCAGAATGTCAGCCATGGATTTTTTCCTTATCATTTGCAATAAACCTTTTCAGAAGAACAAAAATAAATGCTGGTTTAGTTTGTTCACGTCTTTATATTTCCTGACTCTGACTGGAGGAAGAAAAACTAAAATAACACAAATGAAACTTTTTCCTTTGCTGCTGTCCAGTGAAACTGGAAATACCTCCTAAATGATAAATAGTCTTCTGTGATAATTTTACTGCATTAAGCAGGAAATAAGATGCTGAGAGAGACAGATTAGCATTGACCACTTGGGAGCTTAATTATAGTAACAAACTTTCTATGAGAATATAATTGTCTCAATGGTGAATAGCGCAGATGTATTTTAGTAACTGGACATTATGTAGATGCTTTGACATGCAGCAAGTACTATGGATTTGGGTATTTTTATGTAACTGTTAAATGTCAGCAAATGATCATGAAATGCTTCTTTGAAATTAAATGAAAGTTGTGTATAATTTTGTTTGTGAGTAGTATTGATGTTGTACAAATTCAACTAATTTTTGGCTATTGAAAATAAATACACAGCTCTGCAGCAGCAGAGTCAGTGGTTGCCTTTCAAACTGACTTCAACTGGGCAAAGATGGAAGAGATCACTATAAGAAACAGAAAATAAAGAAAAGATAAATGGCCTTATTTTTATATATAAATAGTAATTTTGGCTTCTTTATGAGCCTCACCGTGTGTTATGACTATCACTTCGAGTTGGAGATTTCACCTTATATACTTAATTTTTCTGAAATTTGCTATGCAGTCATATTTTTACAGTATTTTCACTGATAATGATCACTGAGCTTTAGGGTATGGGAAATCAGCCTGAAGAAGCATCTGCTGTCATGACTGATCTCATCATAGTCGAACACCACCACTGTAGAGCCACTTTTCCTAAATGGGTAAATGTTGGATTTCTGCAGATAGTCATATACAGGTACTTTTGAGATAACAGCACCTGGTTGCATTAAAAATTTATTCTGTTCTTTTCCAAATAGGAAAGGTTTACATATACTCTAGAATAGAATTAAGATAAAACAATATGGTTTTTTTTCCTCTAGTATCAATTAAAATTAAATACATCTGAAAGCTTTTCTTCATTCTTTTCTTATGTATGTCTTCTGCAAACAGTTGAAAATTAGTTAATTCTCAGATTTATGAAAACTTGAGAACTGCTACCTTGAATGAGGGAAGGAACATTTTGTGTAAAATTCTTGCATTAAAAATGCATGGAGCTAAAAGGAGTAAAAATAATTAAAATATTATTTTATTTACTATTAAAAATAACATTTTACTTAATGTTATTTGAAATGAGATTTACAAGTAAGTGATGGACTTTGCAAAATACGTTTTGGATACAGAAGTCTGGTTGCCAACATCTCTGAATTCAGCTGCATACGTGTGTGTAAGGAAGTACATTTTAAATCTATTACCAGCTGTGATAATTGTGCCCAAAATGCCACTTTCAACCCCTGTCTTGTACCCTCAGTTAAGTTATAACTGAATTTTGATTTCTTAAAGTCTTGGATTTTTATATGTATTGCTGCATATTACTTTTTTTTTTAAAGCTCTCTTTCACCTGATTGGGTCTTCCAACGTTGATGTGAAAAATGCAATGACCTTCAGTGGGCCTCTGGAAGACATGTTTGGGTACACGGTCCAACAGTATGAAAATGAGGAAGGGAAATGGTAAGCTGTTTTTCTTTTCTTAAATGGAAACTCCAAATTATCAGGTATTGGGTGACTCAGGCGCTATACTGTTATCTGTAAGTATGTCGGATACGTAAGGGTCAGATTCTGTCAGTCATATTTCTTAAACTAACACGCAGTCCTAAGGAAACCTGGAAAGATTGAGAGACTGAAAGCCTCAAATTTATATCTATTTTTATTGCCTCAAACACATAAATGAGTTCACAAAGTGGGTAGATTCTTCATTGGTGGAGCTGAGAAAGTTTAGTGTTATGCCTGAGCCCTCTTTTTTCCATTTACCAAATAAAATAATTATCTTTTCCTTGTGTTGATGTATTGGCAGTGAAATTGCTCCTGTTTTACCTAAGTAATCTGTATTATGTATTTTTTTCTAAAGTTTTCTGCCAGCGGTTGTCTGAACTCAGTTTTTTAACTGGTGGGAGGATTTCTCTGTCAAAATATTTATTAACACAGTAGCATGCCTTCCTTTTTGGAGGGCTAATTCTGTCTTGCAGTTGGTAATATATTTGCATTTGGGATGTGGAGCCTTCTTCTTAACCTGTCTTTTCCTCCTTCTTGTTCTCCTGATTTAGAAGATGCATTTTGGCATGCTTACAGCTATCATTGATTCTTGGTCTTTTGATAAACACCTGCTTATGCTTTTCCCTTGTAAAAACAAACTTCACAGGCTAACCACTGGGCTGGAGGGCTGAAATAATGATTGAATGGTAAAAGGTTTGGGAATCCTTACATCTTCATCATTCTTTGCAGATTGCTCTGGTTTTCCCAGAGCTTTGCCAGTAATTTGACATTATTGGTAAACCCAGGGACTCCCGCGGGCAGCCTGGGACGACAGGCATGTGGCTGCGTGACGGCCGGGTCAGACTGTTCTGCAGTGCCCAAGCAACCCCCCCTGCAAGCGCCGGGGCTGTCTGACTCCGAGAATCTGTCCACCACGGCAGCACAATGTTCGCTGGTAGCTATAGGGGATGTTCACTGAACTGAAATTGCAGAGCTTGCTTTTGAAAATGCTAGCTCTCGATTGCTCACGTTGTAGGATGTTTAAATATACATCTGCATGAGGGAATAACAATGAACTTCTCTGAGCTAATTTAGACCATCAGGAAATGGTATCCATTCTAGGAGCTGGGATTTTGCAAAGTAAGCTGTATTATTGTAAACTGTTCTGAAACCTTTCAAGAGCAAAAAACAACATGAGCTGGAAATGGTGACTCTTCTATTAGTTGAAGGAAGACAGGAATCTAAACTAGTGTCCTCAATGTGAACATCTCTGAAATTAATCTCCAGACCTGCTATTAAATTGTCAAATCTTCATGTTGCTTTCACATAGCAACATCCAAAGCAGGAAATCTGTAGATTGACAGATAAAATAAATATACCAAGCAACCTTGTGATGCTTTGTCAACTGTTACAACACTACCTAGATACCACAGATAGAGCTCTTCAGCAACAGGTGTTCTGTGAACATGACTGCGGTTGTTTCTCAATGAAACTGGGCTCCCCTGAAAAAATCCCTGGGCAAAAAGACAAAATAGCATTTCAGACCACTTCTGTTCCCGGGGTTTGCTCTTTATGAGAACAGAACAGCATGAGGACGTGATGCTGCTGAGCACTGATCACCTCCCATGGGATATCAAGCACCCTCAGCTTCTCTGCTGTTAAATGGAAGTCAAGGATGCATGACAGGCTGTGGTGCCTGTTTGTAAGTTTTGGTGTAAAAAATGCATACATTACAGCATATAGCTTGAAATAGCAGTCAGATCCAGTATAGACTTGGAACATTTCATTTTTATTTAGAATTAATTAATTTACTAGTAATGAAAAAATCTTAATGGATCACAATGACCCATTCCAGTATGGTGGTTTGTTTGGGTTTTTTTTTTAAAGCTGGATTGTGTACTGGGTTTAAATTCTCCTTTCTGTCTTTTTTAAATCCATAGGCTACATTTTATCTATTATGTCTTTCTATTTAAGTATCTTCTGCCTGGACTCATTAATTTATGGTTAAAGGCTGAAATGGTTCTCTCGATAACTCTTCACAATCTTCTAAGTGTTCAGGAACAAATCTTACTGAACTATTAGTCTTTATGGCAGGATTTCTGTTTCCAGCGTGTGCTGTGAATTCTAATTTAACCCAAGTTCTTTACACATTTAGTGGAGCCAGCTGTTATCTGTTGGGTAGTGCTGGGCTATTTAGTGTAGCTAATGAAGATTTGAGAACAAAACTAGTGTCCATCTCTACCAGCATTTCCTGC